TCATTGTGAAGAGTTAATTAAGCCAAAGGGGAGAAAGCAGCTGATTTCTTGCGACAGTAGAAGTTTGATTTTTTTTTCCAGTTAGAAAGCACAGAAAGGCAGTCAATCCAGTCTACCACATGCCAGAGCCATTAGCCAGAGCCCTTATTTTATGTAGCCAGGACCCACATCCTGGTTCCATTTGTTGCTGGAGGGAATGGGTCAGAGAACTAAGGAAGTAAGATAGTGACCACAAGGGACATTTTAAGGGCCATCAACAGGAATTTCAATGTTTTCTTACCCACCTTGAACTTTAAGACCAAAACCTTGAAGAGTTCAACTCTAGAACATTATTAGGCTTAGAAAGAAGCAGATTTTGATGGTATACCCAAAGACAGGTATTGTACAAATAAACAAACAGTGCTAGAGATTGCTACTTCTTAATAATTACCTACCTTTCACCCACATGCTATGAGATAGTATATAGCTTGCTTACAGAACAAACCTTGGGAAGCTAAATTAACTCCTTGATGCAAGACTAAAGGTAGTCAGTAAATCAATTCTATTTCAGTAACTCAAAAAAAAAAAGAGAAAAAGGAAATAAACAAAAGATACCAAAACAATCTCCCATCCTCTCAAAATAAAATATTTACTGTAACTCCTGAAATGAATTTTCACATGTCTCCAAGTTTCCTGACTTTGGGAGAAGGAAATAATGAGATATTAAGGGAGAGGTTCATCTTGTAATATTTCCAGACAGTCTTAAGGCAGGAAATCCTTGCAGTCTTCTGAGAGAGCCTGATCTCCCAAGACTGCCAGATCAAAAGAAGTCAGAAGTTCTCAAAGATCTGAGTCTTGTCTCTTTGAAATTCTGCAAGGGGAGGAGGAGGGCACACAATACTACCTAGGATTGTGCTTATCCTAGGTAAAAAATAATTCTTAAATACTGTGCAATCCAGAAGTAACATACTCTATTTTGATGGGTTCCCCACGGTTGAAAATAATATGCACTAGTGATATATAAATAGATGGGCCTCCCGGTGGCCCAGCAGTTAAGCGCTGGGCTGTGAAGCTGCCCGCAGCCTCTGCAGAGCCGGTTCAATCCCGGCCACCAGCAAGGGTCCCACATGGCGCGCAGACCTCTCCTGCCGCAACCCGCTGCTCCCCTCAGCAGTGTATTGGTCCGTCTGCCTGTTCTATCCCCGCTCTGGCTCTGGTGAATCTCTCACCCTCCCGCACTTCTGACTGTACCCAGTGCTTGTATAAATAAATAAATAAATCTTAAAAAAAAAAAAAAAGAAATGTAAATGGATGGAGATACCTAAGTGTGTATTCCAAAGCTGATGAAATCCCTATCCTATAAAAGATGTTTCTGGTAAAGAAGTCTTAGCAATCTTCACCTGTCTCAAATCCTCTGTGACATAAAGAGGTAAAGAAATGTGTTAGAATGTCTCAAGAATTTGTCTTCACTAAAAGGGAAAATATTCAGTATATCTAAACAAAACACTCACAACACAAATTATAGGTATCTCAGTAGTGAAATCAGGTTGTTCACGGGAAAATTAAGGTAGTAGAAGATTGTTGAAACACACAATAAAGAATAATTAATATTATAAATACTAAGTACGTGTAACATTATGTTTACCCTGCAAGAATGTTATGTTAGCCTTCACGTTTGTCAGTCCCAAACTGCAAACTCTAGAAACAGGTGGCATATGAGCTCAAGTCACACAAGCAAAGGGAAGAAACACTGTCCTCAAAAGGTCCTTTGAAGCAGCGTCTTCATTTGCACAGTAATATGGGAGCCGTCTTTTATAAACTATTAAGCAGAAAAAAGAAGTGCCAGTGCACAAAGAAGCTCCAGACCCCTTGGCTGTTTCCCTGTGCATTCTTGGGGAAATCTCCTGCCTGCTGTAGATAACCTATCTCTCCACAGAAACCTTTCCATAATTCACCCCCTGAATCTTCCTTTTCAAGATTTCGGAGCTTTTTCTCAAACATCAGAAGGCTTTACAAATCTCCATGACCAATTGAGAACACAGATTTCCCTAGAAACAAGATCAGAACCAAAGTAATTGGGCAAAAGAAATATAAGGGGGTGCAAGCTCCAGAACAAATCAATGAGTCTGATTGTGACAGGAAGCCTTGGGAGAAAAGAATTTTGTATATTCCTGTTGGCAAACAGCCTTTAGAGTGAGCCATTGTTGTACTCAATTCTTCTTTGTGCCTATTGTGTTTTATAACTGGTAAATCAACATGGGAAATGAATTCTATTTAACCACTTACCTTGAACATAGACATAAATGACAGAGGCCTTGTTGCTGTCCCGATAGAAGCACTTGTAGGCTCCAGTATCATTTCCGATCACTTTTGGAATTGTAAGCGTCTTACAGAAGACATGGTCGCTGCACTCGGTCACTGCCACTCTGTTCTCAGAACCACTCTGATTGTTGGGCCATAGCCAGTCCAAATCCCTCTGCCCACTGAAAAATCAATTCCCAGAAAATATTAATGTGAAAAGCCACAATACGGGGCTGTTTCTAAGGAAAACAAAGATTTGGTTCTCAGACTTATAAAATTCCTCAACACACAGATTCAAAGCCTTCCACCAATAATAACTCGGGGAATCAACAAGAGACAAAAAGCTATATAAACTCCGCTTCAGGATCCCTTACAGGGTTTCCACAGTTTTCTATTAATTCACTTTCTCATTCGTTCAACAAATATTTAAGTATGTTCTGTGTCCAACATGGGGGTTAGCAATGAACAAATCAGACAAAAACCAATGCCTTTGTGGAACCTCAGTCTTGCTGGTGCACACAGCAATAAAATAGCAAGCAAGTCTCAGTAAAACTGAATATTTTAATTAAATAAAATGCATTAGAGGAAATATGGAGGAAATATTAAATATTAAAAGCAAAAAGGGAGGGAAATCCAGAGGAAGGAGGCTTGCTGAATGGCCAGAGGACTATCAGGAGGGACAGTATTCCAGGGAGAGGAAAAGCAAATGTAAAGTTCCCGGGGCAGGCAGGAGATATTAGAACACTGGGGAAGGTTAGGGAAGTCAGAGTGACCAGATAAGACTGGGCAAGCAGGGAGGGTAAGAAGTGAGGTTAGCAAGGAAGGGAATACAATGGTCTAAGAGCCTTTTAGGACATTGTACGGACCTACTTAAAATACAGATTATGTTGATTTCAGCATTTCTCTACAATGCCCCAAGGCAGGTGGCTCACCTCAAGAGGCAACATCTCTGATTCTTCTTTCAAAGAATTGGAAATTTCCATGAAATTGTAACAATATTCATGCAGTTACTTTTAACACACTCAACAGCTTTTTCAGGATGTAGGAAATGCTTGTGCAGAGTTTTAAAAGGGAGTATGGAATCTTTGGGGGTTTTAAATAACCTTTGTTGTTGAGGGTGGGTGTGAAATATGTCTTGAAATAGCAACACTAAAGTAACAGTGCCTGCTACTGCTATTTCCCAAGGGCTCAGTATTGGTGACCTATACTTGATAAAGGGACTAAGGTGTATACCTTATAAACTACAGTCTGAAATAGATCTGTGTCTCTGTGTTGAATACTTGGTATTCATCCAGCATGAAGGGACAGCAATAAGCTGCCCAAGGGTCTTTATATACACCCCAGCACTCTTCTCAGAGGCAACATCACTTTTACCAGTCTCTTTGCCCATGCTCTCTACTGTGGGCACACTGGTGCCAAAGAGCTTCCAGGTCTATCATTCATAATCACTATATTAAACACCAAGGTCTTCTACTTTTCCTCCTGGGGAATAGGGTTGGCAGGCAAAATCAAAAGACATTTTCTTGTCGAAGAGAACTGTTTCCCCAGTTGACAAAAATCAATAACATGACTTTTTGATAGCAATTGAGAAAAGAAACCTTCCAGAACATCAATTCAGAGCATGGAATCCACTACCTGCACAGAATATGCACCTGCAATGTTAATGGCTGAGTACTAAAGCTACAACAGTCAGAATTTTATTATGAAATGAAGTTCTCAAAAAGGGCCAAATAGATGACCAGGATAATAAACATCCAAAACTTTGGGTACATCCTCAATTTAATTTATTCATTTAATATTTACTGAGCATGTACCATAACTATGTATCAGATGTTATACTGATTATTGGGTGTGAGTGTGCACGTGTGCACGCATGTGTGTGTTGATAGAGGGAAGTAGAAAATAGTGCCAGCACAATAGTACAGAATTTGGGGGGAGAAGATCTTTCTCACTTTATCATGGTTACATCATTTCTTAGAAACCTCACTATGTATAAATAATAACTACAACTCTATTGTATTTCTGATGTGCAAATACAAACTTTCCCTCCATAAACAGTGAGCTACTTGCACACAAAAAAATCTAAATCTAAAACGAATCCTTACCTGCAAGTAATCTGAAGCGTTGTGTTAGCCATAATTGTAAGTATGTCTTTTGTATGCTGAGCCTGGGTAGATCGAGAGGAACACTAGACAAACCTAGAAACAAATTAAATAAATGAATGTAGTTGTGACGGAGATAAACCCAATGGGAAACCATGAACAATGCACGCTCTAAATTTTAAAAGGCCTCTTCAGCAATTTATGGTGCAAAATTGTGAATTTACTTTTCACCATTCCCAGTAAAAGTTCACAAGCTGTGTAATAACAGGAAGAATGGGCAGATGGTCATAAACCGACACAACAGCTCTGCAGTTCGTAGAGCTAGGGTGGAGTTCCTGTTTTCCTGCATTGCCAACTTCAAGGTCTTACAAAAGGATATGGGACATTGAAACCAAATGAACCCTCATCTGATGATCTCACTCCCTTGGGAAAGGACCCACTGACATTTCTTATAAAACATAGGATGCACACATTTCACTAAATTGCTGATTAATGAATACTCCTTAGTGAGATTTCTATATAGCTCATCTATGTATCCCGAAGGGGGTGGAAGCATCTATGACCTCGTCTAATTTTCCTTTATCAATTTCTAGGGCACTTCCTCTGGAACTAGGACAGCCAAGACTGAAAGACTACACTAAAACTAGAGGCAAGAAAATGAGGAAAACATAGTCTAATGTCATAGAATATGCACATCACTATACTTCTTAGAAAATGGGACTTAAGAAAACAAGGTAATGAGTTACAATTAGGGAATCTCAACTATTCATTGAAGCTCTGAGCTCAACATGCTACCAAACTTGGAACACAAGAAACTTTTCTATCTAAAAATATCACAGGACAGATTCCTCACTGTGGGCAACTCTCTCCAGAGAAAGAAAACTGAGTTCTCTGTCAACTGAATGTGAAAAGCTACCAAGTGCTGAAAAAGCATGTCCACCATGCGAGGGCTGTGACTTGATAAGATTTCTAAAACACCAGCTTTAAAAGTGCCTGTTTTATGTAAGCACCCAATTTTAATATGGCTTTCAATTCTCATCAATAAAAACAAATGATTCTCTAAGACTACACTGGCATTTAGTTTGCTGGGCAAACAAGAGAGTATGAGCAAATGTCCAATGAATTGAATTTGTGAATTCAGTGTGTAATGTGAACAGTTCCAGGAAAAATGAACAACTGATCTTGCATGTTCTCACACACTCGCCTGAATGTGCAAAATAAGTTACCGAAATAACGGCAGATCTGTTCATCAATAAGAAAAAGATAAATCCTGGAAATTAATTTATATCAAATAGATCTCAGAAACGAATTAGCATTGGTACTGAATGTCTCAACATATTTACAGGCTTACAACTTCGCACTTTTACAAGCATTAAGTGACCATCATACATGGCACTCTAGGTCTAAGTGGCTACTTGTCTAGGTGGTCACATCCAGTTAATTATCATAGTACTTTTCAATAAGAAATAACTGCCCTCAAGGTAGAAAAATAAAGCAAAGTGTCTAAAAGCAATAGAAAAATCTTTCCAATAATGGAACTTGTCTAAGAAAAGGGAAACGAAAGCAATTTATTTGGATGAGCACAGCTATCAAACTGGACTAAGAAACACTAGGTTAGAAACATGTTGAAAACAGTGACCTAATGCAACATTCACAATGATCTAAGCAAGAACCCATTATTTGGGCACATCTATGTAAAAGAAAAAAAATGTGGTAAAGACTAGCCTCCAAGTAAGCTATGTCTCCCCTATAACCAAAAGAAGAAATTCTAGAAGATCTCTCATAAATTATTGCCATAGTTTCTCTCTTACTCTAGACACACTTTCCCATTAAATAAATAAATAAATAAACATGAAAGCCCATTCAAAGGAAGCCAAGATGACACCATTCTAAAGACATGTCTATAACAAAAATAATCTATTCACCTGAGCTATCAATAATAACTTCAAATTCATACCTGTAGACCAACCCTCAATTTTTCCTGTTCCATTAAGCTTCATTCACTTTCATTGGCAAGTGAGTTCTACTCTCCAGAAAGTTTTAAATAAATAACTGTAAGACATACATATGCTCCTACTCCATAAAAAGCCCTTCTATGTTCAAACCCCATAACCAATATTAATTAATTTGTGCACTGTTACCCTTCCAGCTCAAAGATAGGCAGGAAAAACAACGGTGCCTCTGTCTCTAGAATTTGATGGCACCAATTACAGCTCAATCCAATTAAGCAAGTCACACACTCCAAAAGGGCAACCTCATCATTACATTCAGGGCAACCCGATTACAGTTACTACTGCTGCACTGTGAAACACCCCAGGCTTAAAAGCAACTCACTTCTTTGTGGGATACAAAACAACCACATGTTCCAGACCTCTTATTCTCTCTCCATAAAGGGAGAGAGAAAGGTCTTGTCAGGGACAAATGAGTGTCCATGATGGAGTTAGTCCTGATGAACCAAGCCATTATTAAGAAAATCCAATAACTATAGGACAGATGATCATGTTACTGTATATGAGTGTGAGTGTGTGTCCTTTTTTAAGACATGCGGTTCATTTCTTTTTATAGAGGAAAAACTTTCCCAGAGTTATTAGTCTTTTCTCTGCCCTTTGCACTGTGTTACCCTTCAGAGATTGGAAATCTGAGTATAAGCAAACTGTGAAAGAGAGACAGCCAGACAGAGGCATCAAGAGTGTGTGTTCTTTTTATTTTTTAATATTTATTTTTATTTATACAAGAACTGGGGTAGCCAGAGGCACAGGAGGGTGAGAGGATTCACTAGAGACAGAGGGGGGGAACAGAACAGGCAGACAGACCGAAGACATTGCTGAGGGGAGCAGCAGGCGAGGCAGGAGAGGTCTGCCATGCCATGTGGGTATCTCCCTGACTGGCCAGGAATCCAACCCGCAGTTCAGAGGCTGCAGACGGCTTTACAGCGCTGCGCTCAACCCGCTGCGCCACCGGGGAGGCCCAAGAGTGTGTGTTCTTAAACTTGAAGGAGACTGAACGGTAGGTAAAGAAGAGAGGGGTCAGTGGCACTAATTTTAGGTACCAAGTCAGTAAGTTTTTGGAAGCAAGAACTTCTGACCACACGCTTATCCCAAAATCAAAACACTTTTGAGAGATGAAATTATTTACAGAGAAGGTGATGTTACTTGGAGATACTAAGGGAAGTTGTCACTTACAATGGGTCCAAGCCCCGATAGACCCCTCTCGTTGCGGAGAGCCGCGCCCTGCACCAAGGTAAAAAGTTTCCCTACCCGTGGACCGCACCTCGTACAGTGGGTCTGTGCATGAGTTTCAGCCAATAGGAAAAGCACCCCGGGCTCGGCTCCACCCCAGCTGAGGCAGAGCTGAGCGCACCACAAGATCCCAGGAAAATGCCTTGCGCTCCCCGCAAGGCTGGGGGGGGTGGGGTGGGGTGCCCTAGGATGTTGGCTCAATCAGGCTACGTTTCACCTCCTTTACCGCCTGCGGAGCACCTCCTGCCAGTCCGCCCCGGGCGCCTCCCTACCACCGCCTCCGGGGAGCCCCAGGGCGTTGGGACTCCGCGGGACAGGCTGCAGCTGAGCCCCCAGTCCAAGATCAGAGCTGCACACTAGCAGCTGGACGAGAGCTTGGGAGACACAAACTCGCTAGGTACTCCTGAGCCGGTCAGAGAATTTCAGTTTCCTCATGCGTCAGTGAAAGGACAAAAAGTGTCCAGTCACTTTCAACTCTCCAGATCTGTAATTCCCAACTACATGCGCCCTCCGAGTCCTCTCCGCTACCTCACGCCTGCGCCCGCACCCGAATTCTCCACCCCTTCCTTCTCGGGAGTGGACTCCTTACCCCCAGAGTCAGCCCGGATCTCCACGTAGAGCCACAACGCGATGACCAGCAGCGCCCTGCTTTCCATCCCGCAACGTGCGCCCCGCGCAGTGCCCAGAACTCGCGCGCGGCTCCTTTCTCCCCGCGCCCGCCCCGCCCAGGCGCGGAGGCAGCGCCGCAGCGCTGGAGCCCGGACCCCGCAGGGCGAAGGTGCCCCGGCTGTGCTGGCGGCTGCTGGGGCGTCTGCGGGTGCAGAAAGGAAAGTCTATCCCGGCTGCGGGACGAGCTCTGGGCTTTCGGTGGCGCGCAAGGGACGCCCCGCGCAGGCAGAGAAAACGCAGCACCATACACTGCCGGCTCTCCCGGGGTCCCGGGACTGCGCGGGGTGGGAGTGGGGACCTGAGGTCTAGCGTGCAGGGGCGGGGCCATGCGGGGCGGGGTGGGGGCGGGGCTTCCCTCCGCGGTCGGCCCATCCCTCGCTTGGGTGCGGAGCCCAGACTTGGTGGTCCCGGTGTTTCTGCGCTTGCCGTGGACGGCGCCCAGCCCGGAGTCGCCGGGCCGAGAAAGTTACAGGCTCAATAACTACGTATCAGGCGGAAAGAAAATGTAGCCCGTCACAGGCTCTAAGTTACTCCGAGGTCAACGGGTGACTGTTTTCCATGCCTCACCCCCAGATATTGGGGGGCCTCACTGAGCACGCAGCGCGAGAACTGCGCTTTCAGGAGGCGCGCCCAAGTTTGGGGAGGTCTCCCGCGCCACGCTGGCCCGCAGGGGAACGAACAGGCTGGGGATCTGGAGCAGGTTGAAGCCACGAGGGTGAGGCGGATACTTTGCCGAGACCAATGCAGGATGGCCAGTTGGGCAGTGGCTCCCGTCAGGGGTCTGGCACGAGCCTTACAGTCGTGGTTTAAAAATCAGAACCTGAATGCCTTTAGTCAGAATATACACTTTGCTGATTCTCCAAAGTTCTCACTGTTTCCTCTTGTATCTGGCAGTTTCGAATGTTTTTAAGTTACCTGCCCAGCCCCCAAAGGCATTTAAATTTGAGACCCCCTGCCTGGCTTCTACCAAAATCTACCCGGGAGGCCACTGGGAGCGCGTGGTATGCCAGGCTGTAGTGAAGCCGCGTCTGGCAGGAGGGCCACTGTCCCCGAAGTGAGGTTTTCCTTGAGAAAGGGCTTTTTTTTTTTTTTTTTCTTTGCACCGCGTTACCCGACAAGGATCTCCAAGCAGGACTGTTTTGAGGTCTTTGACAAGCCCCTTATCAGAGCAGAGCTTACAGCTAAGATACCCTCAGGCCAGTGGGAAGCGGGCCCCGCTGCGGTGGGCTGCACCGCGAAGCAGAGAGGCACGAGCTCTCTGGCCCAGCCCCGGGCACCCAGCACACTCTGCACAACCTCACAACCCTCTCCGCACATGCAGACTCCTTATGGCGCTTCCTGGAGGAGAATTCGGATTCCTTTCTTGGCCGTATTTGTTCCTTCTTTTCTCTCCATCTCTCCCCACACCAGAGGAGTGACATCAAATGTCTGTCAACTTCATTAAATGGTATCCTCCTGATCTCTCTCTCTTACACCCCAGGTGCTTTTCATGACAACTTAGATGATTATCCTTCGGGGAGATGAACAGGTAGAATTATAATTTCTACCTCTAATCCAACACCCTCTCCTGAAATACACAACTAATAGAAATTGCTTCTCTGCTGCCATTTACTCTTCTACTTTGCCAAGCTGACAATTGAAATACTTTATGAAATATAAACACGTTTTAAAATTTTTAATGCCTCTATCCTTTGATAAAGGCATGCATTTTTTCTTCCTTTTTCTCAAACAAATTTATGCACACATGGATATAGGTACATCACTGTCCTCTTCTATAAAGAGCAGTCTTACCCCTTCAAAATATACTTGAAGCCCTTAAGGCTCCATCTTGCTCTTTTTATAATGGCATGGTGTTCCACTGTATATATTTACTAATATTTAATCCAGGAGGTATTTATTTGTTGGGTGGAAGGGCAATGGTAGCCTTAAAAAAACTCCTCTCTTCCTGCTAGTAAACTTAGCAAATAAAACAAGATGAGCTCTGGCAAAAGTGAGTAAGTGTGTGGGGGGGTCTGGGAGGGGTAAAACTTAGTTCTGAGAAGGCTATTTTTCTCATCTCCATCTACAAACAATTCTTTTCACCCAGTGTTATTTACAATTCACAACACTTCCTCTTCCCCATCTCACTTAAGAAGATAGTGTCTCTTCAGAATACAAACCAGAACCTTGCAGGCCCATGGTAATAGCCCCTCTCCAAAGCTTGGAGGAAATGATTTGTCTTTGATAGCCACAATACCAGAATTTGGCAGGGTCTCAATGAAATCAGTCTACCACATTCCCTCCCACACAGCACTTAGAAGTGCCTTGTGTTCATGAAAAATGACAAAGTCTGCTTTCAAAAAGGTCTGTTCCATGTACAATACCCTCCCATTATCTGGCACCACTGCAAAGGAGTGATTCTGTGAGTTAATCTGGCCATTTGGGGATGCCCACAACCTATCAAAGTGTCTGAGTGAGTTCAGAGCTCCAGAGGTGGCACTCAAGCCAGTTCAGGTGGAAGCAGCAGAGCGGGGCTGCCTGCGAGGACTCTGGGCCACTGTGCCTGGGCTGGACTCCAGACCTACCCCTTTCTGTGCAAGTCTTCATGATCAACCATGTCATATGTAGCTACAGAACACAAAAGATATTTCTTCATAGGGGTTTTTAAATAAGTTACTGCGTGTAAGGCTTTTAGAAACTGGTAATCTCTGACTCCACACATCAGAACAAGCAACTGATAACATTAGGAAGCTTTCTGCAGGCACAATATTGGGACTCACTGGCTCAAATATTGGTAATCCCTATAGTAGTCCTGAGGCCAAATTTCAAAAGACCTCCAAGATTTCAGAGCCAAGTTCACTAGGAGTCCATGTGTTCATTATGTTTTTTTTTTTCAAAGATTTATTAATTTATGCATGTAAGAACTGGGGTATAGGCCAGTGGTGTGGGGGGTGAGATGATTCACCAGAGACAGAGTGGGGAACAGAACAGGCAGACGGACTGAAATACACTGCTGAGGGGAGCAGCGGGAGAGACAGGAGAGCTCTGCTGCACCATGTGGGTTGCTCTGTGGCCGGCTGGGGATGGAACTTGTGCTGCAGAGGCTGTGGATTGTTTCATAGCACAGTGCTTAACCCCTTGCACCACCAGCGAGGCCCGTCATTATGTTCTTTCCCACATGAATTTGGCACATTAAAATGGAACTGATGCACAGGAAATCTCACCATGTCCAAGATTCAGTAGCAGATCATCAGATTAGATGGCTTTTCCTGTTTGCTATTCAACTCACAAGAATTGGTTTTAAACATGGAAGTGTTTCACTTACCTTATTAAATAAATTAAACTAAAATTGCCATAGTGTAGAGATAGGTATTTTTATCTTGTTACTATGATTCTATTCAAAAATATGTATTGAGGGCCTCCCTGGTGGTGCAAGGGGTTAAGCACAGCACTATGAAGCAATCCACAGCCTCTGCAGCATGAGTTCGATCCCCAGCCGGCCAGGGAGCAGCCCAAATGGCATAGCAGACCTCTCCTGACTCGCCCACTGCTCTCCTCAGCAGTGTCTTTCAGTCAGCCTGCCGGTTCTATTCCCCCTCTGTCACTGGTGGATCCTCTTACCCCCCACATCTCTGGCCTTTACCCCAGCTCTTGTATGCATAAATAAATCTTTAAAAAACAGATTGTTTAAAGTTCTTTCTAGGAATACAAATATAATTCAGTCATGCTTTAAAAAAAAAAATGAAACATCCTGCAAAGGTAGTTACACTGCAAAACATGGTCTCCTCTGTGCAGTCAAGACCTAAATTATAAACAAGGCTCTTTTATTCAAAAACAGTTTTTGAGCACCTGCTATGTGGTAGGCGTTGTACTAGATAATAGGGCTGCAATGGGGAAAATAAAAGTAATATGAGTATAAATGAGCAGTCATCACAACAGCTCCATCTGGGACAAATTTAACTTAATCACTACTTTGCACCTCCAACTTCTTCACTATGCTTTGTGCACAATGAATATGCATGATTCATATCTCCAAAGCACACTGCATAAATGACACTCCAGGATGCCACATTTGGTTCCACGGCCACCAGTATTTTGGACTTTCAATCTTAAAAAGTAAATATAAAGTCTAGCAAAAAATTACTATTTGGTAAGTTGGTGAGTATATAAGGGTTTATTACTATTTCTATTTCTTTATGTTTAAAAATTTCCATGATTTAAAAAAATCTCTATTTTAAATAACTATGGTCAAAGTGACACTCTGTCTAGCATAATATGACTTTTCCACTACTGGTGTGTTGACATTACTTCTGGGAAATGACTGAGGCAGAGGGGCTGGTGGGTGAGAATGTGCCCTTTTTACTTCCTAGAGATCTAACATTTTGTCAAAATGACAAAGTATTCTTTTTTCAAATCAAAGAAACAAATCAGGCTCACCTCTCTTTGCGGTGGTTGCTATACTTTCAAATATTGTTGATTACATATTTACATGATACTTTCTGGTGTTTACTTCATTTAATTCTCTCCAATGTTTGCTTATGCTGGAACTCTGCAAAGCCTGTGACTGACTACCTTGCAAGATGCTGGCTTCGTGTCACAGTCCATCTGCACTCATGATCACATGCCTGCGAGATTGAGTGTACCCTTGTCTCTCGTTACCCACTTTCCTTATACACTCACGTTTGTTTTACTGTGTGATTTTTATATCTTTATCTCAATCTTAAAATATATTGGTATGTTCAGGGAAATGGCTATGTCACCACCAAACCAGACTTGCCGAGGATGTTTCTATCCATTTGATTTTTATGAATAAAACCTTACATTCTGATAAATAGCAAGCAAACACCACCACCCTTTTTGTGAAACAGAACTTCACTCTTTGCCACCTGCAAAGGAAAAATCTCAGTTACTACAAATATGTACACCTAGGTGCCTCCCCAAACACTCCTTATGGTTTCTTGGTATAGCTCACGTATGGATAAATATAACAATTTAGAATTTGGAAAGCATGCAGGGAATTTAAAGAACCAACTAGATTATTCAAAGAGGGATGTGAGAAAATAGTAAAAAGGAGCCAGCACTCACTGAGCACATCCTTTGAGCAGGCGCTGCTCTGACTCTTTCCCTTCACCCTCATTTCATCCTTACAACACCTCATGAAAGCAGCGAGCACAAGCAGCAAATTTTAATGGAAAAAGAGAGTAAAGACAAGAAATTATTTATATAGGTAAATGTTCCTTTGCCTTCCAAAAATTCTTGCCAAAAAAGTTGCTTTATCTGTTTGCAAACTGTTAATGCATACTTTCTTACCATTAAAAAATTATGTGGTAAGAATCAAGAAACTCTTTAAGGCAGAATTGCATAGTACTTATTAGGTAGCAGGTATTTTCCTTAAATTATCTTGTTTTCATGTTCACAATAATTCAATGGAGAGGATGCTACAGTTACTCTCATAGAAGGGGAAGGAATGAGATTTAGAAGGGTTAAGAAAATTTTCCAAAGTCCTGCAACTATCCATGGTGGAATCAAGATTGAGGAGAGAGGTATGAAAAATCCAAGACAGACCCTCCCCCACCCCAGCACATACAGTTCCTTCTTGAGGATTGATCTCTTTCAAATGATGAGGCCAAGTGAATTGATGCCACTGGCTGTCTCAGCCTCTCCATGATGATGACCTCCACTTTCCTAGGCAAGTGAAATGCAAGAGTGACTTAGGAGAATCACTACAGGACAGATGACCAGGGAAGAATGAAAGACAGGCAATGAAATCTCTCCTCCCCTACCCCAGGAATTCCAACAAAGTAGACCTTCCCCCTCTATTCAACTCCTGCATCACTGATCTTCCCTGCAAAGGAGATCAGCTGCTCCTATACACAGTTTTTTGTGCACTTCAGGTATTTCTTTTCTGCCATGGATTTTTTCCCATTTGTCTTCTGGAAACCTTTTATTCATCCTTCAGTATCCAGCTCAAATGTCCTTCCCATGTGATATGTCAGTTTTTTCTTGTTAGTGGTGGTGATGCTGGTTGGTGATGGTGATGGTGGTGCGTGTGTGTTTTAGATTTTATTCAGCTGTCTTCTTCATTTGAGACCCTCCCAAAAGGAAGAGGCAGAGGTTAAATCTTACCTGAGTAGTTGAGTTGAGCAAGGTAGTTGTTAAATATAGCAAGTAATGGTGAAACAAGTGATAATATTTATTTACTATAATATATTTTAGTAAATATGTTGAATTAAACATATTTAATTAAATTATGTTTAATTAAACATATGTTTAATGAAATAAAGACTTACTGTGACATGTTTAATTAAATAAAGCTATTGTCAAAGTTACCATGGTGTTAAATGTATATGTGGCTGTATAATATGTACTTTCTATGATGGTTCTAAAATTCACATTGAAATTATAGTCATACCTTTAATAAATATATCAAGGATTATACTGAGTATTTACTGCATCCTGGGCAAATTAATGTGGGCCATTTTGTTAAACACAGAATTAGGAAATCACTTTTCTTCTCATGTATACACATCGCACTCATGTGATATGTGATAATGCATCATATGAGTTATCCCTCAAGCAGGAATTAGGCCAAATTTATTTTGTATTTTCAGGACCCAACACAATTTCTGTTCATATTCACTTCTCAATACATTGATGAACTTCAAATAATTTTTGACATTTTTTCCTTTCTGCTGCTCTTGGTTTCTCCTTTGCTTTTATTGCCCCAGAATTACATGCCTCTTTGATAATCATCACAATTATCTTTATAGAGTGCAACTTGTTGGAATAATAGAACTATATAATGCCTACATAGGCACAAAGCGAAAGAGCTTTTAATTTATAAAAAGTGGGGTCTGGAGTTTTGTTTTTGATTTTGAGAAATGAAGAAAAAAAGAGCACTTAGAAGATTTACATGTGTTACACGAGAAATGTGTGACTTGAATTTCACGTCTGTGCCTTTTACAGATTGTAATCATTTTCCAGAGAATTAATACCATCTCCCTTCTTAAAAGATTATCAAGTTTTCAAAGAAATGCATGGAACAAAAAAAAATGCTTTTGTTTCCTAGAGAATTGTTATTAGTCACTCCTTCCTCACAAGAAAGATTTGTAAACTTCCAGCTTAGTTGTGTAAGTTTGCAACTCTGCTCCCATTTTTACAGAACAAAGATATTATTTCTCAGTAATGTTATTTTACCAACATTGAACCCTAGTCAATGACAGCAGAAAAGTTTTATGTTCTTTGTATATAAATTTAGTCTCCAGAGTTTCCAAAACATTGGAGAGGAGTCCCTTGAGGCACAAAATAAAAATTCTCTAAGCAGTGTTTCTGAATGTTCATTTCTAATATATCACTGCCTTGGTGCACATAATAAGACCAAATAAAATAACTCACCAAGGAACACCACACACAATGAGGATTTTATTTTTAAAAATGAAAAATACAACTTCAGATATAACTGATAATCATCCAAAAACTGGTCTGACTGGTTACAGGCAGATGAAAGGCCATAAGGGAGTCATTTCATGCATCTGACCACATAATATAAATAGAAGTTCCAGATGTGGAGGAAAAAGTCCAGTAACAAAGCAACACATCGAAAATATTAGACATTAAAATGGTCTTTGGATAGTATATGAATACACATTTCCTTATTCTAAGAAAACTTGACCTTGGGCCTCCCCAGTGGCGCAGCGTGTTGAGCACAGCGCTGTGAAGCTGCCTGCAGCCTCTGCTGTGCAGGTTCGATTCCCAGCCAGCCAGGGAGAAACCCACATGGCTTGGCAGACCTCTCCTGCCGCCCGCTGCTCCCCTTAGCAGTGTCTTCAGTCCATCTGCCTGTTCTGCTCCCTGCTTTGTCTATGGTGAATTCTCTCACCCTCCAGTGCCTCTGACCTGTACCACTGTTCTTGTATAAACAAATAAAAAATCGTTTAAAAAAAAAACAATTTGTTAAAAAAGAAAACTTGACCCTGCTTCTTCCTAAAACAACTTCATTGTCTGTTACTTTCTACCTTTCCTTCCTCAGAAAAGCTCTTGAAAGAGAAGAAGCCTGTGCTCACCTACTCTCCTGCAACACATCAGCTTCTCCTCAGTCTCGACTCTGCCTGGCCTCGCTACAACATCCACACTTCTGTCTATTGCCTCTTGAAGCTCTTCTTTGCTTGATGTTCATAACACTAGACACGTCAGCTTATCCAGCCAGTGTCCATCACTAGTCAAGTTTTCTTTGCTCAGACCTAATCACAGGGGATCTCTGACTCTCTTCTTTGTCCTCATCCCTTGTTCTCCTCCTTGACTTTCTCAGATATCATATTCCCCGTGGTGCTCTCAGCTACCATCCTTATGGGGATAACTTGTAAAAGGCTTTCCAGCTCTGATTTTCTACCATAGCTTCAGGTTCTAATCTTCAAGCCTCTCTGGACATTTCTATGTGTATATTCATCAATCTTTTAAATTAAAAGTGTCCAAAAATGAACTCGTTTTGGACTCTGAATACTCACAACTGAACTCCTGCACAGTCTCCTTTGGCCTTGTCCAGTACAAAGTTCTTCTAGAGGCTCACGCTCCATACCTTGCAGGCATCTTTTTCCTTTCGCCGGAATCTAAACTTGTCCATATTCTTTATATCTCTCATATCCATGCCCTATTTCATTGATCAGACTGCCCTGACTCCTGACCATTTTGCCTCTGTCCTGAAATATTCCAATCCATCCATCTCTCTGCTGACAAAATTATCTTTCTAAAACACTAAGTTCATTCATCTTTTCTTTAACATTTGGCATTTGCACATAGCATAAAACCCCAAATCCTAAGCCTATTGTGTGCAAAGGATCCATTTCTTGCCTGCTTTCTATTTATAGCTTATGTTCCAGCATAGCATGTGCATATTCTATATTCCAGCCATATAGGCCATGAGGCACTTCTAGAAAATGTTTTATACTCTCGTCTCCATGCTTATGCTGAATGAGTTCTCTTTGTCTAAATGTGATTTATTCCAACAGCTGCCTATAGGAGACTGGACTCACTTCAAAATCAGAACCCAAGAAGTTTCCTTCATTCCTATTCTCCTGCCATGCAAATCTGAGTTCTTCTCTCTCCCTCACTGCAGCCTCACATCAGAACTCCTTGGGTTTTAAGCAACAGAAAATCCAACTAAAGTGGACTTAAATGTACAGGATCGTATTGCTGTAAGTTGGAGGCTAGATTCAGATAGCTTTGTCCAGTGTCTCAGTGTGTCATCTTCCTATTTTCTCTGTGACACTCTCAATTCTGCCTCATGCTCACCTCCTCACCTATGGAAGTGACTAAACCTCCTCAAACCGCATTGTCCACAGAAGGAGAAAGTTCCCTGCCAGAAGCTCTTGCGAAATAAGCTCTCTATTCTCAGTAAACATCTCTCATATCTCATTTGCTCATCCCCACACCAATTACCAGGCTGGTGACTTGGCCCATTCAGGCTGCTACAAGATACTACAGACCAGATGACTTATAACAACAGAAATTCATTCCTCACAGTCTAGAAGTCTGAGATCAGGGTGCCAGCATGGTGAGGGAGGACCTCTTTGGGGTTGCAAACTTTCCAGTATGGGGGGACTAGGAATATCTATGGTGTGTCTTTCATAAGAGCAATAATCCCATTCAGGAAATCACCACTCTCATGACCTAATCACCTCCCAAAAGTCCTACCTAATAATATTTCTCCTTTGGGTGTTAGGCATTTGGGGGAGTTGAGGGGACGGCATAAACATTGAAACCATAGCAGGCAGGAAGGATACCAATTAGCTTAGATCAAACTTAAGAATCTACCCCTACAATTAAAGAGTAAGGTCAATAACATTAAAACCACATCACTCAAATTAGGAAAGGAATTATTTCTCCAAGAAAAAAGAATGCATTTTGTAGCAAGCAAGAGAAATGGATGTTAAGGAGATAACCAACCACCCCCTTACCCCAAAAGTACATTGTTCAATATCTGATATATCATATATATAATATCCTGCCTTCATCAGATTTATTTGGGTATGATGTGTCTGTCTTTCTCATTACATTTGTGAGCTAGAGAACAGGTTTGGCTTTCATAATTGTTTTTCTCTAACACCCAATTAATCGAAGGTAAGGTTTTGCATTCTTTCTCTGAAGCAGTTTCCCTTCACCCAGTGGTATCATCATAACAATAGCAAGGGTTTTGAGTCATTATATGTCAGACCCCACTGTAAGTATGTAACATGTGCTGACTTCTTCAAATCTCTCCATCAACCTAGAAAGTCCTTACCATTATTACTCTCACATCAATGATGTGGAAACCAAGGCTCAGAAAGTAAGTAAATCTCCCAATGCCAGTAGCTTCTTGGGTGCTGGGGGAGGGGTACGTAGGGTGGGGAGGGACCAGGATTTGAACCAAAGTGACATGAACCCAATGCTACACTCTGAAACAGACTCAAATCTGGATCATCTCTCAGTAAAGTATACCTGCTGATGAAACAGTCACTGAAAAGGTATTTCTTGTCTTTCAGACCAGCCAGCAGAGTATCTACCCATCTTGCCAATTTTGCTTTCATAACATACCTATTGTTTCTCGTTTGTTTGAATGGCAAAGTGATCATCCATCACTTGGCTAGACTTGTAGAATAATATATTAAAGACCAATTGATCCTGTATCCTCATCCATAACTCTCCTAACCTTAATACTCTTTTTTCTGATCTGATCTCCAGCAGCAAATGTTTAATGTCTTTTAGTTTACGGTCCAAAGAGAATAAAACTATAAGGAACTAATGTCAGTTGTATTTGGAGTTTTTGCTCCGGACGATAGTTCTCGTGGGATGGTATGTCAAATTGCCCCCTGGCTTCTTTCTGTCCTGTGAGAAGGAACATATAGGACTGGGGAACCCTCAAGAGATTCAGTCAATAAGTTATTGATCACTAAAGACAGATCTTTGCATATTGAACAAGCATTTAAAAAGATTTTCTACAACCATACCTGACAACACACAATCCTCGCACATGACAGTCTTTTTCTAGGTCAACACCATTGGGTTTTGTCCCACATTCTACACCTAGAAACCTGCTGTAATGCCCACAATCTGCCTCTTGAGTACAAATGACAGATTACTGAACAATCCCCATTTATTCAGCAAATTATTAATTTACTTTTAAAAGCAAGGTACTTATCACCTATCTATGCAAAATACCAGGATTTTAGACTTTTTAAAAGTATAGCCACAAACTAGATATACTTTTCTTAGCTTTTAATAAGAACTTTATTGGACATTTATCATTTTACTTTTAATTTATTTTTATTAAGTATTTATTTTTTAGATAGCTTATTTATTAATTGTAAAGCTGTGTTTCCTAATTCTAGCTGCACGTTAGACTCTCCTAGGTCTGGGGAGCTTTGAAAAAATACTAGAACCTGGCACCATGCTCCATCAAACCACAATCTCTGAGACAAAAGTCTAACCAATAGACATTTTTGTGTCTTCCAGAGTGATTTTAATGTATAGTCAAGGCAGATAACCATTGTATTAAACTGTTATGATAACAAAAAAGATCCTTCCAAAATTTAGAAATGAAAGCATTTTAGGTCCAGGACTATTTCATTCATTGAGTATAATAATCACAGCGAGCTTTCAAAGGGTACCAAAATCATGTGAGAATTTTAAAAAGTGTAACTCATAAAACCAAAATTTATTCTTAGAAATTCAAAACTATTAAAATACATTTGAATATTTTTTTTTTTTTTTTTTATAGAGGCATGCTTTATTTATTTGTTTGCTGGTTTGTTTGTTTTGTTTATACATGCACTGGGTACAGTCAGAAGCGCGGAGGGTGAGAGAATTCACCAGAGCCAGAGCGGGGAGCAGAGCAGGCAGAAGGACCGAAGTACACTGCTGAGGGGAGCAGCGGGCGGCAGGAGAAGTCTGCACGCCATGTGGGACCCTCCTCCGGTGGCCGGGGAGCAGCCGGGGATCGAACCGGCGCCGCAGAGGCCGCGGGCAGCTTCGCAACCCAGCGCTCAACCGCTGCGCCACCGGGGAGGCCCCATTTGAATATTTTTAATCAGAAAAAAATCTCCATTTAGTATAAGACATGAGTGCATATGTTTGCCATGATCTAGGGTGAGTCTTCTAGAAGTAAGAACACCTCTACCATAAAAAGGTCTTAGTGCACCCATGAGTATTTCAAATTACAATTCAATGTTTGCAGCATAAAATGTTCCTGTCTACTGCTGAAGAAAACATCAAGGAAATAAGAGTGAAGTCAACGGTCTGGTAGCAATTCATCCTGATAGAAGGAATTATAGCTTTCCAGGTCTTAGCTTCAAACAGAAGATAAGCTTTTATGTTTAGAGGCAAATCTCCCTTTTCCCCCCTAAGTTATGCTTTTCGTTACATGCTCTTCTGAATGAAAGAACTGCCTGGAGGAGGTTGGCAGGGAGGAAGACACCCAAATTGAGTCTCAAGGAAGATGAATCATCGAGATTGGTTTCTCTGATCTAGAAGCAACGCAATGCAGTGTGTGATGTTGTCTTCCACCCTTCCTGGCCTTTAAAGTCAAAAGTCAAATTCCAGTGGATGGGAGTCATGTGTAGAGCTAGCTCTTCTATCCGGTTACAGAATTCTTCAGGGTCTAAAATGAGGGCCATAGACCTTCAGATTTAAAATTTTTTTAAGAATTTGAGCTTCCAAATGTTTAAAATCATCTGTATGTATGTGCTTGTGCACAGAAAACAGACCAAAAACATACCCGTGAGAATTTCGCAGTTGATTATTTCTTGGTGAAAAAAAAATGCATGACTTAAATTTTCTTCAAGAACCACGTAATCTTTTTATACATATATGGAGAGAATAAAAGTCCTGAAGGACACAATGAATCTTAAAAAGATCTACCCCTTAAGATTAGAGTGGGGATGGGAGAAGAGATTTCATTTATTACTCTGTACTGTTTTATAATTTAGCATCATATTAAATAATAATAAACTTATAATAATAAATTTTAAAAATTTGCAAACTGACCTTAGATCTGAGGCATAGGGCAAGGGAGGGGGAGGAAGAAGGGTCAAAACAGGGGCGGGACAGTAAAGGGACTACGGTGATGGGTCACGGGTGCTGTGGTGGTGGGAAAACTACAGGGACTACACCTGGGGAGAGAAATCAGATACTTTACCAAAATTAACAACAATGTCAGAAAATAAAAATGCATTTAATAATAGTAACGACAAAAAATTTAACTTACTAAAGGCCATACTCATTCTAGTAGTCCCCTTGTAACACTCCCTGCTGCCACATGTGATTATGGTAATGTCAAAGCAAGGATCTTGATCTCAGTCAAAATTTATAAGTTATCAATTCACAAATTATCAATTGTAACTCATTTTAAAAGCTTAGCTATATATTAAGTTCTCGCTATACAAAATGTTCGTACATTACCTCATTTTCTCTTCAAAACAATGTGACTGAGGAAATGTTAGCATCTTTGACTGCCCGCTTCACTAGAAAATGAAAGAGTCCAGGATTGAAGTCTGCATCTTTCTGGCTTCACAAACCAGTCTCCTTAAATGAAAGAAATTAAAATTGTGAAAGAATCAGGAAATTTGAAAAGTAAGTGGATATCAGTCTAAGTTGATAATATTTCTGCTGACATAATTCTCTTTAAAACATTGTAGTTCTCCTACAATTCTGCTTGAGATTTTCTCTAGTAGCCAAATTCACATCCATAAATTGTTTTGAGTTAAATGTTTCTTGCTTTCAGCTTCTGCCGAGACCGCTGGGGACAATGGCTTTAAGGTTTCTTAGGAGCCCAACTGTTTGACTGCATCATCCTCTGAGACAACATCTCAGATCTTCCCACTAAGTTGTCTGCCTCCAGGGTTCAATAATATTTTCCTTTTATGTCCATACTGCAACTCTTCTCAAGTGTCCTTATGCTTTTGCTAATATACTTTTTTTTTACACTTCCTCCTGCACATACGTATTTCAATGGTTTGATAACATTTTTCTTGGAGAAGTTTCAATATATAGGGTTTGTTCCACATTATCTCTTATTTTATGTCCCTCAACAGATTGATTAAATTTTTGTTGATGCCTATTCAGTTCTTCAGTATAGGTATATCTTCATAATAAGTTCCCAGATAACTATCCCCATGGCTGAAAATTGGGAAAATCCTTCAAAATATATTTCACATGATTGTGAAGGGAAAGGAATTGTCAAAATTAATTGGGGATTCACATTACCTCATGTGTTAAAGGCTGTCATTATTATTTTTAAAATTAATTTCTGGGCCTCCCCTGGTGGCGCAGGTGGTCGAGTGCAGCGCTGTGAAGCTGTCCGCAGCCACTGCAGCGCCAGTTCGATCCCAGCCGGCTGTCGAGAATCCCACATGGCGCAGCAGACCTCTCCTGTCTCTCCCACTGCTCCCCAGTGTATTTCATCAATCTGCCTGTTCTGTCCCTGGCTCTACCTCTGGTGAATCCTCTCACCCTCTAGTGCATCTGGCTGTACTCCAGTTCTTGTATAAATACATAAATAAATAAATCTTTAAAAATATATTAAATTAAATTAAATTAAATTAAATTAAATTAATTTCCTTTCTGGGGCCTCCCCAGTGGCGCAGCGGATTGAGCACTGTGCTGTGAAGCTGTCCGCAGCCTCTGCAGCACTGGTTTGATTCCCTGCCAGCCAGGGAGAAACCCACATGGTGTGGCAGACCTCTCCTGCCTCACCTGCTGCTCCCCTCAGCAGTGTCTTTGGTCCATCTGCCTGTTCTGCTCCCTGCTCTGTCTCTGGTGAATTCTCTCACCGTCCCGTGCCTCTGACCTGTACCCCAGTTCTTGCATAAATAAAAAAAAATCTTTAAAAAATTTAATTTCCTTTGGAGTAACATACTAAGGTATTTAGTTTCAAATGGACTGTCCTAAAGATATTTTTCTCTTCTCAATTTTCCATAGTTTTTGAAAAGAAAGTACAGTGTTGTAGTGGAAGACTAGGAGCTTTGATGTCAAAAAACTGAAATTAGAATCTCAGTTCTAGGTGGGCACTTTCAACCATGCTGAGCCACAGTTTTCTCTTTTTCATTTTATTTTACATTGATTTGTTTTATTGTGGTAAGAACACTTAACATGAGACCGATCTTGTCAATAGATTTTAACTGTAGAATGCAGTAGTTTTATCTATGAGCATAATGTTTAGCAGATCTCTGGAAGTTATTCATCTTGCATAACTGAAAGTAATCATACTAAAATTTAAAGAAAAATTAACACCAATGCTTTCCAAACTCTTCCCCCAAAAAAATTAAAAAGGAAGGAACACTTTCAGACTCATTTAACAAGGCCAGCATTATCCTGAAACCAAAGCCAGGCAAAGATACAAGAAGAAACCACAGGTCAATTTCTCTGATGAACTTTGATGGACAAATCCCTCAGCAAAATATTAAACAAACTGAATTTAAAAAAGTACATTAAAAGGATTATGAACCATAAAAATGTGATTTATCCATGGGGTGCAAAATGGTTCAATATAAGAAAATCAATTAATGTGATACACCACATTAACATAATGAAGAATAAAGACCACATGAGCACCTCTTCAAAATTCTGTAGACTTTCACTAACATGTTTCTCAAAGTCCTGACAGCCTCTTCTGATTATCCCCCTCAAAAGCTGCTCCCAGATCTTCAAAGTTTGTTATGACAGCACCTCACATCTGGACCAAAACTTGTGCTAGTTTTCTATTGCTGGATGACAAATTACCACAAAACCTAATAGCTTCAAATAAGCATTTTATTATAGAGCAGTTTTGAAGTTCCAGAGTGTGATCTGGGTTATTCTACTTCCAAGTTTCTCATAAGGTTGCAGTCAAGATGTCAACCAGGGAAGCAGCCATGTGAAGGGTCGGCTGGCTAAGGAAGCCACGTCTGGTATGACTCACCCATATGACTGTTAACAGCAGGACACCAGTCCTTGCTGAAAGTTGGGTGTCTCCACAGGGCTACTTAAATGACATAGAACTTGGCTTTTCCAGAGCAAAAGATCCAAGGCAGCAAAGTGGAGATCATAATGTCTTTTATGTTCTAGAATTGGAAGTCTTGAACTGTCAAGTTCACAATATTCTACCAGTTACGTAGTTCAGCCCTAGTCGGTGTGGAAGGACATTAACACCAGCACTTGAATACCAGAGACAGGATTCATGGGGATTATAGTGGATATAATTTTTCTCATTAGTGTTTTACAATTTTCAGCATTCAAATCTTGACAATATTTTGTTTGATTTATCCCAAAGTATTTCATGTTCTTTGGTGCCATTTTGAATGGGGCTATTTTTTGTTTTAATTTCCAATTGCTTTTTGTTACTATATAAAATATAACTAATTTTTTATGTTGCTTTTGTAAACTGTCCTTGCTAGTCTCACCTACTAGTTCCAGTAGATTTTTGGTAGATTTATGGGAATTTTTATGTGGATAATCATATTTCTGTGGATAAAGATGAGTTCATTTCATTTTTCCTATAAACATTTTTATTAGTTGGTGTATTTTACAGGCAAGGTTCTCCACCAAGTAGATGTGATAAGAGTGTACATCCCTACCTCATCTCCATGCTTGGGAAGAAAATATATAGTCTTTCATCATTAAGTATAATTTTACAAATTTTTCATAGATTTCCTGTTATCAGGCTGAGAAAGCTCCCTTTCATACCTAATTTATTGAAAGTATTTATGAATGAATATTGAATTTTTTCAAATGTCTTTTGTGAATTTATTGAGATAATCATACAGTGTTCTGGCAAATGCACTATTAATTTTTGAATGTTGAACCAAACTTACATTCCTGGGATAAGCCCACTTGGGTATAATGTGTGAACTTTTTTATATATGACTAGATTTGACTGAGTAACATTTGGTTAATGATTTTGTAACCCATGTGTAAGGGTGATATTATTCTGTGGTTTCCTTGGAGTATCCATCTCTGAGTTCATTATCATGGTAATAACAGCTTCATAAAATTAATTGGGAATGTTTCTTCTATTCTGTTTCTGGGCCATCTCTATTTACAGGTTAAAAGATATTATCTTGGATTTGCTTCAAAATAATTTGGCATGGGGGTGAAGGATGAATGTGAATATATATAAAACAAGATAGCCTAAAATTTGATAACTATTGAAGTTTAGCAATGAGTAGATGGAGATTTATAATACTTTTATCTACTCTTCTATATGTTTGAAATTTTCAATAATAAGACATTTTCTCTTAAAAATAAATCAGTGTCCTTTCCACAGCTCTATCCTACTTTCCAATTAGTATTCTGAGAAAAGAGGGTTTCCTAAAATTTCAGCAAGAGGGAAGCATAATATTAGACACTAGAAGTTTCTAAAGATGTAAAAATTAAGATAGTCTTAATTTATTGGCTATTTCTACAACTTAATTAAAAAAAATTCTAATCTGTAATGCAGTGATTATCAAACTTTAATGCAAATGAAAATCACCTGAAGGGCTTCTTAAAACATTGCTTAGAGCAGTGGAACTATTCTATTAGATACCATAATAGTGGATACATGTCGTCAGTTTGTTTAAATCTATAACATAGAACACCAAAAGAGAAATTTATTGTAAATTAGGGACTTTGAATGTTGTGTCTATGGAGTCTCATTGATTACAACAGAGTGTTCCTCTACTGTGGGTGTGGATGGCAGGGGAGGCTGTGTAGGGAGGGGAGGTATATGAAAGCTATTCTTCTGCTCTATTTTGTGTGAACCTAAAACTGCTCTTTAAAATGATGTCTTTTTTAAATAACACAGATTGTTAGACTTCATCTTCAAAGTTTCTCAAGTTTGGGCTAGAGTCCAAGACTCTGCACTTCTAACAAGTTACCAGGTATTAACAATGATACTGGTGCAGCAACCACAAAGGAATTCACCTTCAGTGCAAAGCCTCGGATTTCAGAAATTTCAAGCTTTTAGCAATTTAAATGCTGGATTTAGAAAATAGAATATTATTTAGTTCACGGGCTCTAAATTGTGACACTAAATTCTGTTTGATTCATTTGGCAAATGTTGGTGCCTACTATGTAACAGGTCCTCTGCTAGCAGCTAGAGCTACAAGGATAGATATGGATGCATTATCCCTGCCATTGAAGATTATATAGCTTAATGTCCTTATCTTTAGCCCTATTTATTAATTTTAGAAAATAATTTGTTCAATTCTAGTTAAACTTCTTTGTATGTGATGGATTTTAAATACTTTTAAGTATATTTTTAATAAATTCTAAGTTGGGTTCAGTTTGTAGTCTAACATATTACAGTGCTTTTATATATCTATGTATTATAACAGTGACAATCCTTCTGTTTTACCCAGAAAGGAGCTTATAATCATTTCATTCTTCCACCTCCTCAGTTTTACAGTTGAGGAATCAGAAGCCCAGAAAAAATGAGGGAAACTTCCCAGAGTCATTAAGCAAGTAAGTGATGGGATTCCAACTAATCCAAGCCACTGAACTCCTAATATGGTAATGTTCCCTCGACATCAGACTCATAACTTCAATTCCAACACCAAGAAAAATGATAATTCCCATATCTAGGAAAATTTCTCAAATTTCAGTGGAATTTCATCATTAAATTAAATTATTGAAGAGCATTGTTAATTAGGAAAAAAGGTATAGAGAAAAACATGAAGGAATGTTAATTCTAATGGCATTAGTCACTTTCTGTGTACCATGTTCTGTGACTTAGAACATTCACTCTTCCTCAATGATCTTATGAGATATGTACAATTATTATGCCCATTTTACAGAAGAGGAAACTGTAAAGAAGTTTTGTATCTTGTCTCAAAGAAATACACTTTTTGCACTAAATTCCAACTAGTGGTCTTAGGTAAAATTAATTCCCAAAGTAACCAAATTGTGCTAGGAGGAAGCTATTCTTCTGCTCAATTTTGTGTGAGTAATATTCAATCATTGTGCGTAGTTTTATAGCTCATCAAAGCCCCAAATCCTCTTTGCATAGTTGAAGAAATCTCGGGAAATAGATGAAGAAACAGAAAGAGATTTTTTCAAAATTTTCAGACTGAGCAGCTGTGTTTTTCTGAACAGGTCAATATTCAATAAAATTGGTCTTTCAGCATTTGGGACTCACACATACAAGTCAAAAGACTTCACTGGAATGGAACGTGCACCAGGTACGCACACAGACACAGACACGTACACACACACCCTCATTCAATTTCATGTATAAACAAACATTACCTTATACTCTTGGGAATTATTTTTAGCTATCTTTAGCCAAACTGGTTTTGCTGGCAGACTGCAACTCTTACAGGTGGCACCTATTCTCTATGGAGTGTTTCCTTTTCCCAGAACTGAGACATTGGCACCACTTACCTCCTTGCCCCCTCAACATCTGTTTCTACTTGTGTGCCAGCTAAGGCCACCTGACCTATGAAAGGAAACAAAACAAAGGTTCATGGTCATTGTCTACCAAAATGGCATGTTTTGGTCCAGTCCGACCTTGGAAACACAGATTGGGAAACTCAAATGCAATGCCAAGCACTGGTATCTTGGGGGGCGATGTAAAAATATTTCCCTAATTTATCTGCTGGTGTTGAATAGAAAATAAGGTAGGACTCTAGTGTCTAGAGGAATCAACTCATAAAATAAGTATTTGCTGCCCTTTCCAAAGCATTGTATAGTGCTGCAGGGTGGTACAGAGGATGGAGTACAAAGTTCACCTTGAAGATGTTAATGAAGCTAACAAATCTGAATATCAATACATCAACCAGAAGTTAATACAAAAGGCTAAGCACAGTGTCAAATTTACAGGATAACCACTAAATATCACAGGTATTCCTTGGAAGCAGTAAAAGCCAATGATAGGAAATCTGAGTGGTGGTGATTAGAAAATGTCACTTAATTTGTGACACATGATATAATTTTCTTTTAATAGTTTACTAGGTTGAAAATGACCAAATGACAGCTCTCCTTAGCTAAACCTCGTGATACCAAGAAAATCCTTTCCCATATTCCTATGTTTCTTTTCTGCTTCTATCCTATTCCTATGGTCAAGGATTTAATTATCTGTAGCAGTTGAA